GCAGCAACGTCAGTGGCGCCGCTGAAGGGCAGCGCAGCAGCGGCACTAACGGGACAGCAGCATCAGCAGCAACAGAACGTGCTGCTGCTGCTGATGCTGCTGCTGCCGCCGTACCCATTCCATCATAGATGGTAGGCGTGTCTGCGCGATTTGGCAGCAGCAGCTGCCGCATCAGCTACAGCAGCAGCGGCTGCAGCAGCAGCAGCAGTTGCAGCAGTAACTGAGTAACCGGAAGCTGTTAGCCAAGAAAAAGCAGCAATAGCAGCATCTGCAATACTGCAGCAGCTGCAACACTGCAGCAGCTGCGACACTGCTGCAGCAGGAGCAGCAGCAGCAGCTGCTGCTGCCGCTGCTGCTGCTGCGTCCTGACAGGAAGCTCCATCTTTTTAAAGAGCTTTTGTTCTTCTCTTTCCCTCCAGTCCTTCTCTTAGATTTTTGCATTTTCTTTTCCGTTCGATTTTCTCCCTAGCTAGCTAAAGTAGCTAGCTAGCTTTAGCCAGCTAGCTACAGTAGGTAGCTATCTAACTTCAGCCAGCTAGCTAAAGTAGCTAGCTAGCGTTACCAACTGAAGCAGCTAGCTGTCTTTAGGTAGCTAGCTGAGTAGACAGCTAGCTTCGGCCAGCTACTTCAGCTAGCTAGCTATCCTTAGCTAGCTAGCTGAAGTAGGTAGCTTACCTTGAGCTAGCTAAGTACACATCTCGAGGCGCATGCAGCTAGCTAGCTGTGGCAAGCACTGCACACTGCAGCAGCTAGCTAGCTGGACACAGCTAGCCACCCTTCTGAGGGCAACTAGCTAGCCAGCTAGGAGGCAGCTAGGTAGACAGCTAGCTAGACGGCTAGCTAGACTGCGAGGAGGCAGCTAGCTAGACAGCCACGAGACAGAGAGCTGGGCGGCTAGCTAGACAGTTAGCTAGCGAGCTAAGAAGTAGCTAGCTTGTTGGCTAGCTAGCCACCTGAGGGACAGCTAGCTACCGGCCTTTTACTGTTTTACAAAACGCACACTTACGCATGAAACAGTTCGCTGCCTCTGCTGCCTAACAGATGCAGCTGCGGCCACAGCAGCTACCGCAGCAAATGCAGCAGCGGCAGCAGCTGTAAAAGCGGTAGCAGCAGCAGCTGCAGCTGCAGCAGGAGCTCCTGCCTCTGCTGCAGCAGCGGCAGCAGCTAGCGCTTCTTCCGTTTGGGTGGGGGAAGCCGCCTGTGCCACTGCTGCGCCCCCGGAGTCCAGGTAAGTGTGGGGCCCCACTGCTGCTGCTGCTGCTGCTGTTGCTGCTGTTGCTGCTGCTGTTGCTGCTGCTGTAGCAGCTGTAACGGAATGTTGCAGTTTTCGGGCCCGTCTGCTGCTGCGTCAGAAGACTCGGCAGCAGGCGGAACCCTTACAACTCGCTTTCTTGTCGCTGCAGCAGCAGCAGCGGCTGCAGCTGCTGCTCCTCTGCTGCCTCCAGCCTGCCACACCCACTGAGCCACAGCATCTGCAGCAGCAAGCCGCCGTTTAGCAGCAGAAACAGCACACCAAGATGCAATGAGGCGAGAAGAGGCCTCTTGTGGCCTCCGCAATGTGACTGCATTGTTGCTGCTGCTGGGACTGCTGCTGCTGCTGCTGCTGCGGCGGCGCCGATGGCCCCTGAGCGCGGCGGCTTTGCGAAGCCGGCAGCACGGAAGGCTTGCCTCCGGTTCGCTCTCATTGCTGCTGCTGCTGTCGCTGCCGCTGCTGCTCTCGCTGCTGCTCTCGCTGCTGCTGCTGCTGCTGCTGCAGCGCAGCAGCAGCGGCCGCGGGCGGCTGCAGCAAGTCCTCTCCACGCGGCGAACTAAACTTGTCCATGGGGACAAAAGAGACTCCGCGCTCTCTGGGCTGCAGCAAAGACACAGCCACCAGACGCCCCCACAGCTATTCAGCTAGCTAGCTAGCTACCCAGCTAACTAGCTAGCTATTCAGCTAGCTAGCTGGCTAGCTACAAACCTCACTAGCTCGCTATTTATCCAGTCAGCTCGTCGCCTACCTGCCGAGCTGGCAAGCTAGCTAGCTAGCTACAGACTCAGCTAGCCAACTGGAGAAAGCTGGCTACGCACCTATCTAGCTAGCTAGCTACATGCCCAGTTAGCTAGCTAGCCAACCAGCTAGCCAGCTAGCGAGCTACATGCCTAGCAGCTAGCTAGCTAGCTAGCTAGCTGTTTTGCGTCGTGGCTCACCAGTAAACGAAAAGGCCCTTGTGAGTCCTCAAGCCCTCCAGCGACCCGCGCAGCATACTGCTGCGGGGCCTTGGCTGCTGCTCCTGTCCGTCATGCTGCTGCTGCTGCCACTTCTGCTTCTGCTGCTGCTGTTGCCGCGTTCCTGGGGTTGCTGCTGAGACGCTGCTGTCGGTGCTGCTGCTGACGCTGCTGATGCTGCTGCTGGAGTGGTAGCCGTTGGTCGTTGCTGCTACGGCAGCCTCCGCTGCAGCAGCGCCCGCAACAGCAGCTGGCAAAGCATGCTGCTCCGTTGCTGCTGCTTTTGGACTGGTAGTGGCCGCAGCAGCAGCAGCAGCAGCGTCCTCTTCTGCTGCTTCTGCTGCTGCTGCTGCTTCTGCTGCTGCAGCGCCCCTGCAGCAGAAAGGCGGCGCCAGGCCCCAGGCCTGGTGGGCCCCCTTGAGCTGCTGCCGGTGCTGCAGCACTGCAGCGTGGCGCTTGCTGCCAATCTGCTGCAGCAGCGCAGCAAAGTAAGCAGCAGCAAGCCGCGGCGGCAGCAGCAGCTCCGTACTCAGCTGCTGCACTTGTGCATAAACAGCAGCATCACTAGCATCTAAAGACCACAGCAAACGGTCCTGCAGCCGCCAGCCGCTGTTGGGGTCGTTTGCTGTCACCTCCAGCACGCACTGCAGCTGCTGCTGCTGCTGCTGCTCTTGTTGCTGCTGTTGCTGCGAGTGCTGCTGCTGCTCGTGTTGCTGCTCGGGCGAGTGCTGCTGCTGTTCGTGCTGCTGCTGCTGCCGTTGCTCGTGTTGCGGCTGCTGCTCGTGCTGCTGCTGTTGCTGCTGCTGCTGCTGCGCACCATCCCTCGTGTTGGTGGTTGCAGGCGCTATGGCATTCGCTGCCGCACCACCTAAATCGTGAGCACTACTGGAGCAGCAATTGCTGCTGCTGCTGCTGCTGCTGTTGCTGTTGCTGCTGCTGGTGTTGCTGCTGTTGCTGTTGCTGTTGCTGCTGCTGTCGCTGCTGCCAATCTGTGCTGTACAACGCGAGTCGTCACACGCCGCTGCTGCGACGTGCTGCTGCTGCTGCTGCTGCGGCTGTGTTCGCTGTCCGTCGAGCCGCTGCTGCTTCTCAGCCTGCTGCAGCAGCTGCAGCAGCAGCGTAAAATCCGCCTCCCGCTCTTGTGCTGCAGCTAGCTGCTGCCGCAGGCTCGAAAGCAGCATCTGCAGCACGTCCACAGTGCAGCAACCGACAGAATCTTCTCCAGCTGCTGCTGCTGCTGCAGCGTTTCTTCGGTTGCAGCTGCTGTTATTGCTGCTGCAGGCTGTCAAACGAGTTGGGGCACGCGCACTCTGCACTGACTGCTGCTGCTGCTGCTGCTGCTGCTTCTGCCCAGCTAGCTGCACAGACAACGGGATGTTGTGGTCAGCTAGCCAGCTAGCTGCCAGGCCCTCCAGTGCGACACCAGAGTCGCAGATGTCCCACACGACGTCTTCTGCTGCTGGCAGCAAGCTGCTGCTGCTGCCGCTGCTGCCGCTGCGGCTGCTTCTGCTGCTTCCGCCCGCAGCAGCAGGTCCTTCTGCTTCAAACGAAGCAACAGTAGCAGCAGCACTGGCTGCTGCTGCTGCTGCTGTTGCTGCTGCTGCCTTTGACCGTCCCTGAGTTGTTTCGCTGCGCTGCGGCGCCTTCGGAGGGCTCACGTCCGTAGCAGCAGCAGCAGCAGCAGCTGGTGTTGCTGCTGCTGCTGCGGCCGGTGCTGTTTCCAGGTGCCGCTGCAGCGCAGCAGCTGCTGCTGCGCCACAAGCAGCACGCAGGTCTAAACGCAGCACACAAATGCGGCGGTGCTGTGGCAGCAAATGAACTGCAGCAGGCAGCAGCAGGGGGTCCTCGAGGGCTCTCCAGTCCTTTGCTGCTGGCTGCTGCTGAAGCCGCTGCTGCTGCTGCTGCTGCTTCCACCGCAGCAGCCGCCGCTGCTGCTGCTGCTGCGTCCGCTGCGACAGCAGCCTAAACCTAGGCCTTGGCCGCGCTCGCTGCCGCCGCAGCTGTAGCAGCAGCGGCAGCTGCTGCGGGGGCCCCTGCAGCCAGCCTGCAGCAGGGGGCCCCTGCTGCAGCGGGACTGGCACAACAACTGGCTCAGGCGGAGACACACCATCGCTTGCTGCTGATGCTGCTGCTGTGTCTGCTGCTGCTGCTGCTGCTGCCGCTGCACTAAACATCGACGCGCCCGCAAGGCCATCCGAAAGGCCTAAAGGCGGGCTCTCGCACTCTGCTGCTGCTGCTGCTGCTGTGGACTCCGCGCATGCGGCAGAGGGCTGCTTCGCAGTTTGCTCCTCCTGCAGCAGCTGCTGCAGAAGCTGCTCTTGCTGCTGCAGCAACAGAGACAGCCTGTGCTGCTTCTCAGCAGCAGGAAAGGTGTAGCGCAGCAGCTGCAGCAGCGCCGGTACCCCCGGCAGATCATCAGGGGCAGCAAATAGCTGTGAGACCTGTGCTGCTGTTGGAGCAGCAGCAGCAGCAACAGCAGAAACAGAAGCAGCAGCAGGGGCTCGCCTGGCTCCGTCGCTGAGTGAGCCCCCAGGAAGCTCTTGCTTCAGCAGCGGCTGCTGCTGCTGCTGCGGCTGCAGGGCAGGCAGCAGGTCCCTAGCTGCTGCGTTGCTGTTGCTGTTGCTGCTGCTGCTGCTGCTGCTGCTGCTAAATCCGGTGGTGCTGCTGCTGCCAGTCAACGGCGTGAGGCCACAGAGATCGGGGGACCTGAGGGTCTGCGGCAGCTTATTACCTGCTGCTGCTGCAGTAGCAGCAACAGCTGCTGCTGCTGCATCCTCTGTCGACAAAAAAGAGGCCCCGGGGACCCACCCCAAGATTGTCTGCCCCAGGGAGCGGAGTGACAGCAACTGCTGCTGCTGCTGCTGCAGCTGCTGCAGCTGCTGCTGAAGCTGCTGCTGAAGCTGTTGCTGTAGCTGCTGCTCTTCGAGCTTGTTTGTCACGTTCCTCTGCGGCAGCAGCAGCCACATCTGTTGTTGCTGCTGCTGCTGCTGGCTCTGCACTGCAGCAACAGCCAAGTCAATCTCCTCCAGCAGCTGCTGCAGCTGCTGGGCCTTTGACGGCGGCAGTGGCGGGCAGGCACTGCCTGCTGCTGCTGCACCCCCTGCTGCTGCTGCTGCTGCGCGTGCTGCAGCAACTGCTGCTGCACCCGCAATAGTCTCGAGAGCATGCCGCGCTTCCGTAACAGCTGCTGCTGCTACTCCGTAGTTAGGCAGCCACTGCGGCTTGAACCGTCCTACTGCTGCTGCTGCTGCTGGGGTTAGTCCTGCTACTGCTGCTGCTGCTGCTGCGGGGGGTATTGCTGCTGCGGGGGAAACTGCTGCTGCGGCAGCTCCAGGGGGTATCGCTGCTGGTGCTGCTGCTGGATCTGCTGCAGCAACACGTGGAAATGCTGCTTCCGTCCCTTGAGAAGCAGAAATTGCCCGTAAAGAGCTGGAAGCACTTTGCTGCTTCTGCTGCTGCTGCTGCTGATCCCGTGGGCTGCTGTGCATAGTGCGCACCGGGGCAGCAGCCTGCTGCCCAGCCGAAGACTTTGCTGCTGCTGCTGCTGCTGCTGCTGGTGTTGCCGCTAACGAGGGTGCAGCAGCACCCCCTGCTGAACCTTCGTAGGAGCGCTGCTGCAGCTGGCTCCGTCTCCGTTGCTGCTGCTGCTGCTGCTGCTGCCGCTGCTGCAGAGGCGAGCGCTGTAGCTGCTGATCCTGCAGCTCCAAAGGCCTTGGAGGCTGCGGCGGTATCTGCTGCTGCTGCTGCTGCCCATGCTGTGAGTACTGAGTGTGAGCGGGGATATGCTGCATGTAGGGCTGTTGCTGCAAGTGCTGCAGTGGCTGTTGCTGCATCGGCTGCTGCTGCAGTGGCTGCTGCTGCAGCGGCTGCTGCTGCAACGGCTGCTGCTGCAGCGGTTGCTGCTGCAATAGCTGCTGGTGCAGATGCGGCTGCTGCGGTTGTGGCTGCTCCAGCAGCAGCCGCTGCTGGTGCTGCTGAATCCGTTGGTCCTGCATGTCGCCGCCTTTGCTGCAGCGCCGCAGCAGCACCCTTTTTGCTGCTGCTGCCTCCACCGCTGCTGCTAGAGTTGCTGTTGCTGCTTCATTGGTTTGACTGGGGAAAGCCTAAAAAGGACAAAGAATCGGCAGCAAAGACGGCGGCTGCAGGCGCAGCAGCAGCGAAGAATTCGTTTGCTGCTGCCTGCAGGTCTATTTGCCCGGTGCTGCTAGCGACAGTGAGATGGCGCCTGCTGCTGCCGCTGCTGCTCTTTCTGATGCTGATGCTGCTGCTGCCTTAGATCTGTGCTTGTACGCCTAGAGCGAAGGATGAGACTGGTGGGGCCGTCGGCCCTGGCTGCTGCTGCTGCTGCTGCTGCCAGTGTCCCTGCTGCTGTTGCTGTTTCTGTTGCCCTGTGCGCTCCTGCTGCTGCTGCCACGACCAGAGAATGGCCTTAAATCCCGCTGCTGTAAGTGCTGCCTTCAGTCTACGGGCGCATGCAGCAGAGCAGAGCATTTGCTGCTGCTGCTGCTGTTGTTGTTGCTCCGTGTAGGGAGCCTCGCTTCGCTGTTGCTGCTGCTTGCAGCCGCAAGCAGCAAAAAGCTTAACTAGAAAAAAAGGGTGAGATTTGTTTATTCAATTGTTCATATCCTAGGGCCGTAGCAGCAGTAGCAGCAGCCCCGTCAGCAGCAAGCCCTACGCCATGAGGCAGCAAGGACCTCTGCGCAAAGTTGCAGTAGCCGCAGCAGCAGCAACAGCAGCAACAGCCACTGCGAGACTGCTGCCTCTGAAGTCTACGCTTTCTACTTCTCAGTATTATTATATTCATTATTATTTTCTCATCCATGTTTGTCTTTAAGCAATCAGCAGCAGCAACCTCGAGTGCATACCAGCCGCAGCGCCCCTGCCGCTGTCGGCATAGGGGTGGCACTGGCAGATACCTCCCGCAACTCCAGGAACTTTAAATTTTATTTTAATTTGCTCAGATGTATTCTAAATGATTTAACTTAGTTCTATATCGCAATTGATCCGTAGGCAGCTAGCACTGCAGCCACCCTAACTCGAGGCGACCCTTCCCGCTGCAGGCAGCAGACTCGGGCTTTTCTAGCTAGCTGCAGCTAGCCACAGCAGCGAGCTGCAGGTGACTGGCGTTAGCAGCTAGCTAGCTGCATGAGCAAGGGGCCAGTGGCGGCCCAGCCACGCAGGCAGATCTACTTTTAAAAACAGCATCTAAAAGCAGCAATTAAAGGCAGGTCTTTCTGGCTTTTAGAAATGCTTATCCGCTTACGAGCAAAAGCAGCAGCAGAAGCTGCCTCTGTGGGTACAAGGAGCGGCCCCTAAAGCTACAGCAGCAGCATGAACGGTGCGCTGCAGCAGCACTCGAGCGCCGCTGCAGCAGAGCTGCTGCAGTGCAGCCGCTGCAGTGCAGCAGCAGCAGCTGTGTGTGCCTGTGCTGCAGCAGAGCTGCTGCAGTGCAGCTGTTGCAGTGCAGCTGCTGCAGTGCAGCAGCAGCAGCTGTGTGTGCCTGTGGGGTCGTCTGGCATTGGGTGTTTGCGTATATTGGATTTCTTTTTGTGTCTTCCAGGGAGCAGCAGCTGACTGGCTTTGCTGCAGCTCGTTTCGCTGCTGCTATATTTGCTGCTACTCTCCAGCCCTAAAAGCTGCTTTCCCCCCCATTTAATTCAAAAAGGAAGAAAGAAGGCAGCAGCAGCTGCTTTCGCAAGAAGGCAGCAGCAGCTGCTTTCGCGCTGCTGCTGTCGGAAGAAGCGGAAGTGCAGAGCAGCAGCAGCTAGCTGCCTCTGTTCATCTGCACTTGTGGTGTATAGACAGCTGCATCAGCTGTTACACCAGTTGCAGCACTGCAGCTGCTGCAGCTGCTGCTGCAGCAGCCGCAGCACTGCAGCTCTCTCCTGCTTTAACCTTCCTGTTTTGCTGCTGCTGCTCGCTTCCGTCACTTACGCTTTTAAGAAGTGCCAAAGCTGCATCAGCTGCTGCAGCGAAGCCTTTCTAGCAGCAGCTAGAGAGTGAAGACACGCAGCAGCAAATAAAGAAACAGCAGCAGCACCCGCAGCTAGCTGCAGCTAGCCACGGCATAGTTAGCCTGTGTGGCTAGCTGGCTGCTGGCCACCACTCCGGCTACCTAGCGACGCCGCTACTGTTGCTGCTGCTGCTGCTGCTGCTCACGGCCCCTGGCTGCAGTGCTACTGTTGCTGCTAAAGTACCACGCTGCTGCTGCTGCTTTCGCTACTATTAAGCCTGAAGCAGCTGCAGCAACACAGTGCAGCAGCCGCAAAGTGCAACGGTAGAAAAGTGCAGCAGCTGCAAAGCGCAGCAGCAGCAAAGCGCAGCAGCAGCAAACAGAGCATCAGCTGCTACTTCAAACAATGTAGTGTTCGCGCAGCTCGCCGTCAAAGTCTTCAAGAGCTGGCAGCTGCAGCGAGCAGTGGTGCTACTGCTGCTGCTGCTGTTGCTGCTGCAGCAGCAGCAAGAAACACAGCCCTACGCCCAACACAACGGTGCAACGCAACCGCCCACAAAGCAGAGCTGTGTGACGCAGCAGCAGCCACAGCTGCTGCTGTTGTAGCACCGCTGCTGCTGCCGCTGCTGCAGCTGCTGTCAACAACAGCAACCAGTGCCCCTGCTGCAGCCGCTGCATCTTTCGCCGCAGCACAACCGCAGCTGTTGCAGCTGCTGCACCTGTCGCTGCAGGGCAGCTGCTGCGGGCGCAGCCGCGTTGCAGCACAGCCGCAGCAGCCACTACTGCTGCTGCTGCTGCTGTTAGAGCTTCTGCGGCTCTCACTTGGGCAGCTGCAGCGTGCAGAACAGCTGCTACGGATGCGAAGGCTCCCGCTGCTGCTGTAGCAGCTGCTACTGCTACAGCAGCCACTACTGAGCTGCTGCTGTTGCAGCTGCTGCTGCTGCAACTGCTGCTGCTGCAGCTGCTGCTGTTGCAGCTGCCGCAGAAGATGCAGCATGCTCCACTACTGCGGGCGCTTTCCAGGGGTGTTTGACTACAGAAGAAGAGCAGCAGCAAAGCTAGGTTAGGTCAGCAGCAGCAGCAACGACAGCAGCAGCAGCAGCAGCAGAGCTACCCTGGCTCTCCCCTACTCCTGGCGAGTTCCGCAGTGACTCTAACGAAAGCAGACTGC